AGGAGAAAGCCCTCCTCGCCCATGCTTTTTGCGAATACCAGGCTGCGACTAGTTTCCAGCCCGGTAGTAACTGTGCATGGAAAAAGAACACCTTGACGTCGATGCAGCCCGCCCTAGTTTTGTACCCCCCACCCACGAGTTTACCCCTGCGTTGGGTCATTCGTGGCCTCTAAGCTCCCACAGGGCCCAGCGGCCGAACTAAATTCAGCCCTGAGGTGTGCACAGGTGTATGCGCGTTTGTGTTTGTGGATTTTTGTGAGTTTACATGTCACCAGCCCTACAATTTTTATATAATTCCCAAATTAGGACATGTTTTGATTTTTACGGCTGGGGGCAGTGATAAATACATGGCTTCTAGCAGTCTCGAACCGCTACCTGAGTCCCGAGGCCAGCTTGGGGGCTTGGGGGATTGGGACTTCAAGCCTGGGCCCTGGAGCCGGGCCCAATAAATAGATAATTCGTGCGAATCGTGCCTAGTATTTTGGGGTTTTTTTTATAAAAAACAAAAGACGGTATTTTATAATAGAAAAACCACTGATGTTCTCGAGACTCGAGGCCTCAAACCTTTGCTAATTAAAAATTTAATAAATACCGTAAAGTTTGGCCCGAAACATAGTATTTTAAAATAAACCGGACCTACATAGGAGATTTAAAAAATGAGTTTCACGATTAGTCCACCCCAGGCCTTCATGACTTCATCACTACATTGCTTTTTTTCTTCTCTTTGGTCCCTTCGTGTATTTACATGCAAACTGTATTTTATGTATTTACTATTTCTTAACATCCCATCCAAGTACTAAGTAAGGTGATAAAATCGGGCCAAAAATAAAGAAGCGTTCCTGATTTACTAAATCTGGATTTCAATTTATTCTCAATATTTTTTGGCATATTTAAAGATTAAGTATTTCGTAAATGATCTGCGAAGGCGCCAAGGTCGAAGTACCGGTAGAACACCTATACTTAGGAGTCTAATACTACTGACTATATCGGAAACCTTCAAAACGCGATTATTGAGTCTATATATGCATAATTAGTAGAGTTTCAAAGTTGTCACTTACAAATATTGTCAAAACAATACTGTATATGCAATCTTATAACCTTAATGCAAGCATGCCATCGATTGGACGATGAATCTCATTTCCTGAACTTTTTGCCAAAATTCAGTTCATATTCACCTACAAACGATTACAATAACATTATTGTAATTTAATTATGCTTATATAGGTAAAACGAAGGTCTGAAAATCATATTGAAGACATATAATTGAATATGCACACCAAATGGAAATCATTGATGGACACGCATGCACGTAAATTGTGATTTTGAGCAAGCATAATAAGCCTTCTATACGACAATGATGATTTCTGAACTAATAATACTTGTTTTTATTAAATATATATTAGAACCTTTAGAAGGTTCAAACTGCTATCACGCGACCTGGAAATCCAAGACTTGACATAGTCGAAAAGTGCACAATCCTGTACATAAATTGATACATAATTGTATGAAACCAGTAGTCCTATCAATTTGGCTGCTTCGCAAATTTCTTTTGAGATGTTTTTAGAAAAAGCCTAGAAAATAAAATTATAATTATATTCGAAAACCGGATATAGTGAATTCGGTTTGTTTCTTAAAATCGAGACCCTTTAAATAGTCTATGGACGGGGTGTTAATTCACTTCTTTAAAATTTCCCCCTAATTATTTTATGCTTTTTAAAAAAGCTCGTTATCGGAAACAAAAATAAAAATAACTGAACTTCTGAAATGTTAAATTTTCAGAAGGCCAACTGTTTTTATTAAAAATACACTATTTTTTTCAACTAAACCCCAACCTTGAAAAAAGGACCCCAAACTACATAAATACGAAATTTTGTTCCCCACGAAAAAAAGATAGAAACAGAGGATTTGCGCTCAGACCTACCCCGACTCAGATTGCAAGTCTTCTGGGCTCATTGAAATAAAGATAATTTTACCTCTTGATATATCTAACTTGTTCTACTCTCTACTCTAGAGACGGGTACACATTGGCAAATTTCCAGTTTTCAGGTGATTTTACCACCTTAGTTTCATGGTAGCCAGAAGTAAATTTTATCATTTTGTATAATTTAGAAGGCTGTGAAGCCTGTGACTATTTATGTATCAATTTCAAGAAATAGGACAAAATTTGACATAGGGACAACTTCGGAGTACTGCCAACTTTTGACTGGAGCATGCTAGATACATGCTTTCAACGAATGATCTGCTTAAAAATATCCGAACTTTATTCTATTCCCTTTGATTGATTAAAATGTGATGTAATACTGTCTATTCGTTGATCTTGTCATCGTATCGAGTATCGACCCTCTGGCCGCTCTGGGTCTAACCACAAACCGTTTTCCGTTAAAAAGTATATAATTTGAATTAATATACGTTTCTATAGTTGCACCTTTCGGATCTAACAAATTGAGTACGAATCGATTTTTCCATACGAACCAGTCGTATAAAAAGTACTTAGGTAAGCTCTTCTCATCAAGTTGTTTCAGGATTTATAGGAATCAAAAAGCGTTTACGTTAAACTTATATTCCTTTCCCCAAGGGCCCCATAACGTAATGAAATTAGCTCTGGGTCAGATTGTAGTGATTGAAAATTTATACTGGATAACGTAATGAAATTAGCTCTTGGTCAGATTGTAGTGATTGTAAATTTGTAACACCGGAGTGGCAGGTCCTGATAAAAACGGTTCAAATTTTTTGTTCAAGATACAGACTTGCCCACTCTACTACAAGAGTAGGCCCCTTTACTACTAGGGCACAAAATTTACTCCTTCGGCCTTGAATATCATGAATTTGAAAACCCTAAAACCCATTTTCTTGTAGATTTAGATCTTATTCGAAATTTTAAAATAAATCAATTGTATACAAGTAAATGATGTAATATAAAAGCTACATTTTTAAAAACTAAAATATACTGTTGACCAGATTTTTCATAAGCTTCTACACTGAACCGTTTAGACTGAATGGGGATTCGGGTCACGACGTCCATAGTTCGAGTCGAGTTTTTACTTTTTATCCGGTACGTGGATCAGACCATACATCACATAATTTCGAAAAAAAATATGAAGGGCGAAAATAGCCGTAATTATTTAAAGAAATACGTAATATGACACAATTCCGGATTTCAGAAATTAATAGATATGGGTCGAAGACAAATTGAATTTTGGGAATTTTTAGAGCTTAATTATGAATTTTGTAAGATTAAGAAGTTAACATACCTTAAATAAGGAATATGGAATGAATTAAGAAGTCAACATACCTTAAATAAGGAATATGGAATGAATTAAGAAGTCAACATACCTTAAATAAGGAATATGGAATGAATTAAGAAGTCAACATACTTTGAATAAGGAATATGGAATAACAGGATAATCCCGTAATATGAAGAACAAGACATTTCTTGATTAAGAAGTCGATTAAGAAGTCATTATCCACTCACCACTGTTATTTTCCTACGTGGCTCACGCGGACTCACGCCCCACATGGCCAGGTCTTTGCGTTTCTTAAATAAGTTTCTTATTGAAAACAAAATTTAAGATAAACATAGCAAATAAAAGTAACCGCGTGGGAGTCTTTGGGAGATGAGTTAATGCATTTTGGGATGGCGAGTAGTGAGGCAGATACACCGGTTAGGGGTCTTAGGGCAACAAATACTGAATGCGATCGTGGAAAGAACAAGGATCTTGAAGAGGGCAAGGCTCCGGCAGGGGGTGAAACTCCTGAAGAGGACGAAGCTCCTGAAGGGAACGAGAGCACAGTGGTGGCAATTAAGGGCAAACAAAGAGGCAAAAGAGTTCAAACCAGCATCTATGAATGCACAAAGTTATACAGAAGTTTAAAAAAGGAAGCAAAACTTGATTTTGTAGCTGAACACTTCACGGCGGACAAAAATAGTCCAGCGAAATTGGCTTCTTGTAATTATTGTGGTACTGGTAAGCTTTACGCATAGAATAGAAAGAAAGCAAGCAATGCCTTGATCCACTATGAGGGCACGCATGAGAAGGAGTGATATGATGACTTGGGAAAATTTGTTGCAAAGATAGTAGAAAAGCGAAACAAGACTTCGGGGCGTCAACAGAGCCTTACTGTATTCGGGGATACCCCGAATCGACTGCGACAATTCCAATACAATACGCTAAGAAACTTGCCGACCTACATTGTGCTCGTTTTGTGGCTGCATACGATATTCCTTTCACCTTAGGGAGGAAGGCTTATTTTAGAGAATGGTTGGCTGCTGCAGTCGCAGTACCAACCACTGCACACTCCAGTTACAACCCTGGTGCTCCGGTAACCCTTAGAAAGTAGCTAACGATTTAGAGAAATCTATTAGAGATGTAGTATTGAACACATAGAGAGACGCACTTCGATATTACAAAATTCCTTTTGCTAGTCGAGAGAATGATCTATGGAAAAATGCTACCGGCACTAATTACCTCGGTATCATCTTACATTGGTATGAACCTGTCCCTGTTGGATCCCAGCCTATCAAAATATCGGCATTTTTAGGATTGAAAGAGGTGGCAGGTTCTCATACGGCCATAAACCTTGCAGAATGGTAGGTGCAAGTTTTTGGAGAATGGGGGATTGTAAGAACAATACATGAGACTCATTTTAGAATTGGTGTCTTAGGTGAGAATGATTCTGTATGGCTGCATCCTAATCAGGTGATCCATAGTGCGACAATGAATCTCACAGCACATGTTACTATGGGTTGTCGTGCTCATAGAATTGCCCTCGTAATGAAGAAGTTATGTGGGAGAGCCTTGATTACTGCGACAGATAAGATGCGTGTTGTATTTAATGATAAGCAGAAGGGCTTGCATAAACACAAACTCAAAAAACAGCTCAATATACTGGAAGCTCTTATATGTGCAGAAAACGAGGAGGCGATGAAAGGTCTTGTGGCACCAAAATTTGACAGCAAACCAATATCAAACATGATAGAATTTTGTGCCCAGCGAGCTGCGTACTTTAATAAGAGTACGGTAGAGGCCAATAAACTGGTGCAAGCTCATGAGATGTTATTATACGACAATCTAGCTAGAGCTATAGCAAATGGCGGTGTCCGGTGGTCTGGTGTGTATGAAATGATCGGGCGTAATGACTATCTTTGTACAGGAATCATGAAGCAAATCGAAGATTCGAAGGAAGATGATAAACATACTGGATAATGGGGTGATGAAGACGTGAAGATACGAAAAGAAAAATTCAAAGCAATCAGGGATTTACGTGAAATTCGGAGAGAATGGATAGGGTGCACTCGGCCACTGATGTCGTGTCAGATGAAAATACAGAGTGCGGAAAACTGCCTCGCAGACTCATACGAACATATATTAGATTGTAAGCTATTACTTGGTGCTGATGTAAAGATCGCTGTCAAAAAAGGTTCAGGACCTAATCTAGATACAGAAGAGACTGAAGAAAGAGAGTTTACCAAAGAAATTCAAGGCTGTCGAATTCGTATGAGAGAAGCCATGACTCACAACTTCCCTCAAAAGCCTGATATTTAGACCCTCGTCAACTATTACTCGCACCCTCTACATAAGGATTTCGAATCCCTGAACATGTCTACAGAAGCACAAGAATCGGCTATCCTGGAAGCTAAGAAAGAAGTATCAGAGAGATGTCTGACAATATTAGAGTCGGAATTAGTACTATCTGAATATCTTAAAGGAAGGGTATCGTCTTGCACATATTCAGGTAAATTGTCAACACCCATCGATAGCAATAAGCGAACCACTGATCAACTAATGGCGAGTGCTGTAGAATTGCTTGACCACGATGAGTTAGATATCGACCAGTTATCACCTGTTAGTAAACTCAATCGAATTCGGCTTGAAAGTCGGCAGGCAGCTATCGCTAATAAGGATGGGAATACTTATGGTTCGACAAATGGTACATCTGCTATGAACTAGAGACATGGGGGAGTCTTTCTTGTGTGATGCCTAAGACTATCCTGGTGCAAAAGGGTAGAGGTCGTGCGACGAAAACCGAGAAACAGGAGGTAAACCCAACTTGTCAGGCATTAGAATACTGGGCTAGACTAAAGGATCGATTGCCCACATTATACATGGTTGCACTAGTATCTTTTAGTATTTTGCCAGCCTCCTGTCGCTCAGAGTATATATTTTTTCTAAGCGGCAACGTCCAAGACAAGAAGCGAAAGACTTCCTTTAAAGGTAATAGTGTGTGTGTATACGTGTAAGTTTTGTGTGTGTGTGTGCTTGTGTATATCTAATA